CCCCGCCCCAAGAAAGCGCGAATGAGCAAGTCTCGCATCAAAACAATGCTCATTGTCTTTTTTGACATCCGAGGAATCGTCCATTTTGAGTTTGCACCGCAGGGAGAAACTGTCAACTCAGCCTTCTACCTGGAGGTGCTCAAGAGATTAAAACGCCGGGTCGCGCGTGAGGGCTGACATCAAAGACGCGATCAAGATCCACCATGAAAATGCCCCTAGCCACACGGCCTTCATCGTTGCCAACTACCTGGCCCGGAGCAACACCCCGGTGGTCCCCCAGCCCCCTTACAGTCCCGACTTGGCTCCGTGCGACTTTTTTTTGTTTCCCCGCCCCAAGCGAGCGCTGAAAGGAAAGCATTGGGAGTCCGTGGAAAACATCCAAAAGCATGTTACAACATTCCTAAGAGACATTCCCGACGAGGAGTTTCAGCGTGCCATCCAGGCGTGGCAGACACGTCTCCGCAAGTGTATTGATTCAGGAGGAGAGTATTTTGAAGAATTTTGAGCATTTGTACCGCTACGATCAATAAATCTATTTTTCCCAGAAAATGCGCATTACTTTTATAATGGATCCTGTATACAGATAGGCGATGTGTCAATCATTACCATACGCCGAATTTCGATGGATCGAAGACGCTGTGAACTTTGACATGAGCGCGATCGCTCTGGATTCACCCACCGGTTACATTCTCGATCTCAAGTATCTACAATATCTACACGATCAATACACTGACCTGCCGTTCTGTCCGACGCGCGATAAATTTCCGGTAAGCGCGAGGCTAATTAACTTCTAGCGACGCTGTACGATAAACAGCGTTACGTCATTCACTACCACAATCTGCAGCACTGTACTCGTCACGCGTACGGTTTTCGCGTAACAAAGATTTCATCGAGTACTACAATTCACACAATTTCCATGGCGATTATATTGAACTCTGTTCGAGATCGGTAATTCAAAAAAAAGGTAAGAATTCCTTCGGTCGACCGACAGTAATTGTTATTGAACGCACGCACAAGGCGAGCTCGTGATTTCATCTCGAGCCTGACTTTAAGCCTCGTCAAAGTCAGGGATTCATTGTTCTTTAGCCTTTTCAAAACAATTCGGTACACGCAAACAGGCACCGGCAACGGAACATCGAAAGTTCTAGAACAATTCGATTCGCGCACGCGAGCGCCGCGCTCCGACGAATACGTCACGCGCTGTCACCAATCCCGCGTACGGATTTTCTGTCGCGCATGACTGTTACGTTGAACGTCGCTAGAAAAGAATCGAAAGCGCCAATCAATTTTGTACAACCAATGCCACGTGATAATTACGATTGTGGCTAAATTTAATTGGATTTCTCCCAAGAAGAAAGCCCGGACCGGAAGTAATAAATGCTTCGATCTCGCCGGTCCTCAGGGCAGATTGCGCAGATTGCTAAAATAGTCTACACCACTTATACCGTCTACACCGCTTAGAATTCTTAGACTTCTTAGAGTTCTTATTTCTAAAAGTTCTTCGAGTTCTTAGAATCATAGTCTCGCTACTATACCGCTTCGTTAAATCGCCGCGCTAACCGCTTAGTGAAATCGCGATAAAACGACTCTTTCCGAGAAAATCGCCGAGATTTTCCATCACCGCGATTCCAAATATAATTTTGGAAAAGGTGATCGCATTTGATATTTTGTTAATCTAATTTTTAATTAATTATATTCTTTGACTCTGTAACTGATTATATTAAAGAAAATTCTTTTGTTAAATTAAAAGAAACGGAGTTCTCTTTACTGTCGTGCATCATATCAACCTTGTGCCGTTCTCTCACTCGAATCTTTCCGCGCGGTGCATTCTCGCACAACTCAATTCAAATTTCAGAACTCGCGCTAAAAACGATTTCGAGAAAAATTTATATAAATTAATGAACAACGCGGTATTTGGTAAAACTATGGAGAATGTGCGCAACCACGTTGACGTAAAGTTATTAACAAAATAGGACGGACAATACGGCGCCGAGGCAATGATCGCAAAATCGAATTTCCACAGTCGTAGCGTCTTTACGGAAAATTTGATTGCCGTCGAACTGCGCAAATTCGAGGTGAAGTTCAACAAGCCAATTTACGTGGGTATATGTATACTCGACATATCGAAAGTCTGTTTGTACGAATTTCTTCACGAGTATATGTTACCACTATTTCGCGATAAATGTAAAATTATGTACACCGACATGGACAGTCTTGTATACCGTGTCGAGGGCCAGGATGAGACTATGAAACGCAGTATCGCTAGATACGACACGAACGATGGACAACGCGTACGATATGCCTCTCGCGAACAAGAAAGTACCCTGTCTAATGAAGGATGAAAATAATGGTGTAATAATGACCGAATTCGTTGATCTCAAAGCGGTGAGGGTGCACGGTAAGAAAGAAACTAAAAAGCCAAAAGGCGTAAAGAGTAACGTCGTAGCGAACGATAATGTTTAATGATTACACGCGGTGTTCGAATGAAGAGATCGAAATGACTCGTCGTCAATCGTGTATACAATCTAAACTGCACGAGGTGTACACGATATCCGAATCAAAAATCGCTCTGAATCCATACGACGACAAACAATACGTCGTACCGGACTCGATGGAGACGTTACCGTGGGGGCATTGGTGGATACCTGTAATATGTGTGTGTGTGTGTGTGTGTGTGTGTGTGTGTCAACATTTATTATGTTTTATGTAGTACTATTTATTATGTATTATTATTATTTACATTTCATGTATCGTACATTTATATACGTATTTTATATTTGTACACTGTAAAACATAGATGAATGGTAATAAAAATATACGTTTATATACTTATATACTTATATTGATATATTTTTTATATGTAGAAATAAAATATATGAATCAAAATTTTATCACATAACATTGTTTTTGTGTATCCATGAATTGTGTGATCCATCGAATTCCAGCCACTTGATGTACACCTTGTCTTCCTTCCTGCGCAATACTTTCTCCATGAGATACACATCCGGATGAGTAGCACGATGCAACTCGTAGAACGCTACAGCGACGATTTTCCGCGATAATCCTCGAGTAAATAGGTTACAGGATTGGTATCTTAACGATTGTAAACACCTCGGTGGTCCAATTTGGCGTAACCAAATTTCTCAAAAATCGTCTTGTACTTGCTCACGCGTATCGAATCGCCTACTTTGAATTTTGCAGAACCCGCGATCTTTATCGCACTGTGTCCAAGAATCTTATGGCGATCGCGGGAGTTACGTCGACGGGTCGCATGCCGATGCTTGCGCGCGATGTAATCTGACACGAGACGCGGCAGCTCGTCGACCCACTTAATTGCCAATATAATTGCTGTTGAACATAAACATCTTCCATATGTCATTCTTGAGCGTGCAATTGAACCGCTGGACTGACG